ATTCACAAATGTTGAAGCTGGTCAGTTTCTGTTAATGAGTAATCCCCATAATTATATTATGATAAACATTGTCTTTTTAAAGGTGCACTGCATAACATTTCTAGTGGAGGGTCTGCCACCTGCTTGTCTCAATGGAAATGTTATTGCTGTGTGTAGATATACAGATATACAGAATAGATTAAACCTATCTATCAAGAGGGAGACAAGCAGGATACAGCACTACACAACATTACAAGTCAGATCTGTGAAGAGTCGCCTCTGTTCACAGAAGAAATACTTGTATTTTTGAGCAACAGATACACCGTGAATGAACAAATGCCAGACGGATATGTTTAATGTTATATTATGATTCCAGGGAAAGCAATAACATCTCCATTGAGACGAGCAGGTAGCGGATCCTCCACCAGAAAAGCTGTACAGTGCACCTTTAACGATAATAATTTTAGCTCCCCCCATCTGTATTAAAATTATTGGCTGATAGAATGTTGTGATGTCATCTGAAATCCAGCAATAAACAATCATTCTCCCAGTAGTGATAATCACTCTAAAGCAGCACTAGTGGAAAACCAGAAAAAGACCAACTTGACATTCAAAAAACTTGAAATGCCTCCACATGCAAAACCAGCCCTGTTTTAGGGGTTGTCTCATTGTTGCCACTCTAGTGGCATTGAGATTTGATGTGTTTTCCAAGTGTTCCTTCGTTCCTGTTTTCAAAGTGTCTTTAATTTTTTGAGCAGTGTATTTTGTATTTTTGTATTTGTATTTTATTTATTTTTACTTGTATACATTTCTATAAATACATCTTATGTCACACCAATCTGTTGTTACTACTTATTTTGAATTTATTATTATCATTTATACTGTTGCTCTTTATTATTATGTCATAATGTGATGTGTGATCAGTAAAATTAAGTTTAAGTCTAATCCTAACAAACATCTGCATTTTAATATTGTTAATTTTAGTTACCCCCATTTGTAGTAAATATTATTGGCTTACAGAATGTTTTGGTGTTCTCTGAAACCCATGCAGCAATAGTGCAATAAGGGTCAGTATCAGAATTAACAGTGTGGGGTGCATCACAGTGAAATCAGCGAGGTTTTCAAGAAGTTTATAGCCTTGTACATGAGGGCTCTATATCCTCCTGACTACCCATAGTTCATTTTTGTCCTCTCTAGTGGACATTTCTTTACAAAAATATTTCCAACTCCCTGCACATTACCTAACCAACTCCCTCTGTGATTTAAAGAGGACATTCAGAGCTTTCAAATGATACCAAATTTATAAGGGTGGAGCTTTGAAAAGACCCTCCTCCTTTACAAGGAAAATGGCTGCCATCAACACAACCACATTTTATGGAAAAAAGAACAGTAAGTGGTATAACTTTTTTATTAAGCAAATTTTGGATCAAAGTTGCATTGTTATATTTTTCTGAATGTCTAATGAACACATCAAAACCATTTTTAAAGTAAAGTAGCAATATTTTACAATGAAATTTGAGTGTTTAACAAATGTCCTCCGAAGTGGACATTTGGAGTCATTTATTTATTTTTTTCCAATTTGAAGGAATTGGTTCTAGGTCAGAGGCAGAGAAAATATTACTACAAATTGTGGGAGAAAACTCAGATATTGAGTTGTCTGATGATGACCAGGATCTATTGTTTGAGGGAGAGGCTGAGGAATCAGAGAGCTCTGAGGATGAGGATGAGGTTGAGGAAGAAGAGTCAGTGTCCAGTCGCTGTCCGCTCTGGAGCAAGACCACAGTGTACATCTTGATCTTGTACTCTCTTAGTATTATGTATTTTACAATGTATTTTATATATTTAGTTCATTCAAATCATTTTGCAAAAAAAAAAAACTATTCAGAATAATTCAGTTTTGTAATAGTTTACTATAACAATCTTTCATCTTTAAAATGAAAAGACTGACATTTTTTTATTTTCCTTAAGTTTCAACCCCCAACTGGATGATCTTTCAATTATTCTAAGCAGTGATGCCACAACACGCCAAAACTGGACCCCACTTTGTTATTTTGAACAGCATATTGATGACACTGTGTTTGAAAAAATGGCTATGTGCACAAACCAAGGTGAAGTCCTTCATTCTGGAACATCACTAAACACTACCCCTGAAGAGGGGGAAGACTTTCTTTGGGTGCTCCACCTACATGGCCTGTTTGGGTTATCCAAACATTCAAATGTATTGGGCTTCAAAGACACTATGGAGTGCTACATCTCGCAAAAATGGTGGATGAACCACATGCATCAAGGTGTCGTAGATCTGGCTGTAACAGCAAAACCTATGTGATGTGCACTAAGTGCCAAGTCTTTCTGTGTCTTTCAAAAAAGGGGAATTGCTTCCTCAAATATCACACAAAGTAAACCAGAAAAAGTTCCAAGTTCAATGTTCCAAAATAAATGCACTACAGATCTGTATTGAGGTGGTTGAGGGACATAAATCCTGAGTTCACTTACTCTCTATGGAATTGAATTCTATGGAAATTGTTAAATTTGTACATCAATACAGTTCTGATGTCCGCTACAGTGGACATGCTGTATTTTTCAAATAAAAACTTGAAAAAGAAAAAAAAAGTTTTCAGTGTAGTCACTGTCTTCTAAATAACTGGGGAAACTAAAAAAATTTAAAATTGCAATACATTTTTTTCTCTGGTAGTCAGGAGGATATGTCTTCCTAGTATTTATTCATATGAGTAGTGCTACATTGGATTTGTTTTCAGATGCTCCCTATCCCTATCCCCACATCCTTGTATTTCTTTGCAAAAATGCCATTATGAACTTGTATACTGTCATGCAGTATGCTGTCATGCTCTGGCCCTTCTACCTCCTGAGGAGACTGTGGTCTTTTGGAGTGAGGGTGCCACACCTGAGGACTATTTTATGACTCTGTGTGACATCAGCTTTATGTATGGTGTGGGCTGCTGGAGCAGCAGTATCACCAAGGTTGAGAGGAACAAACCGGTCATCAAGAAGTCATCAAGAAATTTAGGCCCATCCTGAGCTGTCCCCTGGACTTAGTGCAGGAGGTGAGAGACAGGAGGGTCCCGGACAACCTCACACCTATTCTGGACCATGAGTGTTGCCCCCTCCAGGACGCTCTGTCTGCTCTGGAGAGAGGACTAACTGATCCACCCTTGCTTTGTGCTGTCAGACTGTACATGTGCCCTTCGCCTATAGTAATCATGTGCAAAATTGCAATATAATGTGAATCTTTACTGGTACAATCCATCCAAGTCACTTAACTACTCTTTGCCCTTGCCCATATGCTGCACTGTAGATAACTACAGTCACAGACACTGTATATATTGACACACTATAGCATTACTCTGCTGGCACAGAGATGTGTTAGTTTTTGTCTTTTGTAAATCATTATAGTATCTAGATTTTGATGTTTTTAAATACTTGCTGTTCTTGACCTTTGCAACACTGTAATTTCTCCATTATGGGACCAACATTTTTAAAATCTTTTTTATCTTACCAGTTCAACAGTTTCAAATAGTAACTCAATGTACCAATTTCTATTATCAAGCTGTTTTATATAAATATTGCAGCTGACAATAAAAAATGAAATATGTAAAATGTATATTATGCATATCTATTATAGTTTGATATGAAATACAAAGAAAGAAGCATAATATGTCTTCTTTAAGTGGACGGTGATTTACTTTTTGCACCCATTTTCACATATGTTCTGTCTCAAATAAACCTATAGACTACTCTCAGGTTGCTGGGAGATCCATGTAGCACCTGCAAAACTGTGAAAGCGTTTGTGAATTACGTAAGAAAGAGTTGTTCACAAAGGCTTTGTCTTTGAACCTCTTCTATATCAACTACTTCTTCTTTATATCATGTCAAAATGATAAAACTAGCAAACCAGATGCTTAGCAAATAACCAAGTCTATTTTAACCACTTTTCTGAAGGACTTGACAGCCATCGCAGTGATTGACTAAAGGGTTTTTCTACTGCTTAAGTCCAACATTATCTTACAAACATTTCAATATTAACTACAGCAAACTGTCAAATTCTGTGTAAAATATGATCGTGTGGAATGATTTATTGTATGATTTATTGTATTGCTGTTGCTAAAAACAACAAGAAGAAGACCTACAGCTAGTCTCATATTATTTCAGTTTTTTTTATTCCAAAGAAGAAAATGACTCTGATAGTGTGTCCTGAGAATGCAGCCTGTGGTCAGACAGCGACAATAGTCACTATAGCGGCTGTAGGTCGCACATGGTCACAAACAGAGAAAGAGCGCTACATATGATTATGAGACAGGACTGGACAGGGCCAAAAGGGCAGCCTGCAGACAGCCTCAGAAAAGGGGCATTTACCTTGAACTCCAGTGTCCCGTCTGTGGGGAGGGACCAGGCCTGACAGGGTCATAGACGAGGGGCGGGTGAGGAGCAGGGCCGCTGCTGCCCCCGGGGTCGTGGGGTGCTCACCCAAGGGGGAAGAGAGGGGGGGACAGTGGGGGAGGGTGCTATGATTCTGTGAGGTGCAGATGCTCAATATGCAGATGTCTAATCGAATTGTGTGACAATGAATTGGCTCTCCGTCTTGATTTGCATCAGGACAATCCCGGCCGGGACTTAGGGGTCAGCGGAGCTCCCCTGGACAAAATGAGCAGCCGGCTGCAGACACCCCTGAGAACGTGTGAACTTGAAGTAGACTTTACTCAATGACAAGAATATTGATTGATTAAAATTTCTGTCTGTCTGTCTGGGAGAACATTGAACATCTGTCCTGGAGATGTTGTTCCCAAATCATTTTTCTATCATTTATAGCTTCAAAATGTTTTCCTTTTAAAAGCTATTTAAAATAGTTTGCAATTTATTAGTGCACAAAAAAAAATAAGTTTTTTGAAATGAGCCGGACTTTATCATTGGTCCATTTAGTTTCATTCGGACTCACATCTTAATTCTATTTAAAGATCAAAGTCAATCAAACTTTCACACTGAAATTACCAAAGCCCAGAGAAGTTTTATTTGCTGTTATTCAGCACTACAGGTGTTAGATGAGCAAAGATGACCCAGAGATAAACCTCTTTAAGAGATTTGGACAAAATTATGAAGAATACAGTATTATATCTTCAAGCCTAACAAAAAATATTAATGGTATTAAAAAACAAACAAACAAACAAGCAAAACTAAAATAAACAACACCAGGCAGATGAATGGCTCCTCTTGTAAAATATACAGTAATACTTTTTAATATGGCTCCAGAAGTAAAAATACTGTCTGTACATCCTCAGATGTGATGCAGTTGTTTACATATTTATATTGATGTAGCTGCTTCTATTCAAAGTGTTCACAAACAGACTCTTCAGCACAGACTCAATTCTGAACTCAAACCTGAATCTTGGTTGTATGAAGCAGATTTGAAGTGCATTTGGTTAAAATGCTTATTCATACTATTTATTGATAGTGTTTTATGTTATCACTTGTCTTCTGCCAAAACGTTGCTTGTATCTCCAGACTCCGACAAAGACAATGGCAATAATCAGAGAACCTACAATGGCTCCAACGACGAGGCCGATGGGAAACTTTGAGGAGGGACCTGAAAAAAGCAAATGAGGAAACTGTGTTAATTTAAACCTAGTGCTGTCATGCGATTAAAAAAATTGAGAGATTAATTAATTATGATCTGTAATTAATTAATCTAATTAATCTCTTTTTAATCTCACCTAAAAATTGCTGAGAAAAGCCTTCAATTTGAGGTATTTTCATTTAAATTCATTATTGCATTATTGTGGCAGATCAAAAGACTGATATAGAACAAAAAAAGTGACTTTATAAAGTAATTTATTGTTTAACAAATCTCTCCAAATTGGCTGTTGAGCCCAAGTCTCCATGAATAAGAAACTGTTTGCTGTAAAGTAGCAAAGACGAGGAAATCTGAACATAATAACTTTTGTCTACTTAAAGACAATAAAAAGTCCAGTCTTTCCTTAACCATATTAAAAATATTATTGATAGAGAAATGCTTTATATATGAAATCACTGGTTTTAGTCCTTGTTTTAGTCCTGGTTTAGACCTGCTTTAGTCCTACTTTAGTCCTGGAATGGGTTAGTCCTGGTTTAGACCTGGTTTAGACCTGGTTTTAGTTCTGGTTTTAGTTCTGGTTTAGTCCTGGTTTAGACCTGGTTTAGACCTGGACTGGGTTAGTCCCGGTTTTAGTCTTGGTGTTAGTTCTGGTTTTGAGGCGCACAGGAGGAAGCGCGGTTTACGCAGCGTACGCGAGAAAACGTACGCGGCGCAGGGAGCACGTCGGTGTCCACGCAGTAACTACAGAAGGAAACGTGGTCCGCGCGTTCTCAGGTTAATGACGATGATGAAGGTGTGTGTTTGTGTTTGTGTTTGTGTTTGTGTGCGTGTCCCATGTCATGTGGCAGGTCACTATAGGACAGTAGTGCAGACATCATGAGCCTATGCAGGTTGTTTTCACCAGTGACATTTAAGTTGTAGGCAATTTTATATTTGTTATTTTCTTTTATATTTCACGTCGGGAGAATAATTTCCAAGACACGAATGTGTTTTTACCTGTGCACTGCTGACTCTGTTCTACTGGCTCTTCGACCTCGTCCATTGTGTGACTGACGCCGCCAACGTGAACATGACGTTTACATCGCTCTTACTGCGCGCGTGTGGGTTTCCGGCAATGAGTGGAATTACCGAAATAAAAAAAAATTATTAATGTGTTTTTTTGTGTGTGTGTTGTTGTCCCAACAACACATAAAAACAGATTTTATAATAAAGCAACTCGCATTCAGAAACAGTAAAGTTAGAGATTAAAAATTAGATTAACGCGATTAAAAAACATAACGCGCTAAATATGACTGTAATTAATTAATCGCAATTAATGTTAATATGACACCCCTATTTAAACCATGTGCATTTTTGTTCTTAAATCATAAATATTACTTTAAGGAAGTAAAGACTGAAGCTTCTAAAAGCTTAGGGTCAGCTTCAGGAGTAAAACACAATGAAACCTGCAGATGAGATTGAGCTGAACTCAAACATTTATTTTCAACTGAAACAAAAAGTGTTTGATAACTTGAGCAGTCTATTTTGCAAATTGCAACCCTGTTGTGTGGTAAATGGTCATAAAAAAAAAAAAAAGGAAAGATACACTTATTTTAAAACAATGTGTGTAAAAATAATTTGTTTCTGCACTGTTTTCTGGGCAACCATTTACTGGTAATAATGTTATATGTTTTTCTGTGACTTACGAGAGTTGGACTTGATCTCGTCTCTGTTCAGTTTGATGCTGATGCTTTTGTCAGCATCATCGCTAAACCTGAACACACAGTTGTAGCTGCCCCAGTCTCCAGGTTGGATAGAGGACACATCCAATTTCACACTCATCTGGAAGGTCCCGTCGTGGTTGGGCAGGATCTCCCCAGGTTCCACACCCTCATGGAGCTCGACTCCATGTTTAGTCCAGAACAGCCTGGCTCTGTTGGGGTAGAAACCCGTGGCATGGCAGTTGACCGGGGACGAGGAAGACTTCTGCAGAAGGGACATAGAGGGGAGGACTGAAGAAAAGATCAAGTTATGGATTAAACATTAAAAAACTCATTGTGAATTGAATAATGACATATAAAATGAAACACAGTTTATGTTCCTGAGCAAAGTTTATAACTAACTTGAAGGGCTTAAAGTGTTATTCTGTTAACCTAGTGTCCCCTGATATGAGAAAGTCATGTTCAAATCAAACATTGCTTTTACTGGTATATTGTAATGCAGATTTATTATTACAAAAACACTGGACATGATGGCCAAGTTGTTTATGTTATCATTTGTAGTTTTGGTTCTTAAGATGAATCTGCAGAAAGCAGAATGAGCCTCACATGGATATCTCATTTGAGGTGCCATTTTCCATTGTGAAATGCAGATGATTTAAACCTAAAAGGATTCTCTCTGATATGAATAATCCCCAGCACCAGCAGCCAGAGATTGACAAAAATGCATCAGGAAATAAAAACAGGAATAGGAAATAAAACAATGAAGCATTCACAGATCAACCGAAGACAAACAGCCAGACCAACAGTCACAAGAAAAAAAAGGAAATGCAGCTATCATCCCCTGTTCAGATAAATGTATGAATGAATGAAACCATCTCTATACTGTAGCTACCATGAAAGAGAGAGGCATACTAGTATACTTTATTGATCAGAGGAAAATTCTGATTTAGCTGCAGAAACATACTGTGTTTCTCAGTTGACTTTGTGTCCCAGTGAAAGTAAATGTGTGAATATTGTCATTTAGATTCTCAACTGTTTTGATAGTAGCCATTGTAAATACACTGCAGGTTGTTAATAGCATACAAACAAGTGTACAGTCACAATACAAATGTCCTTACCTGAAGAGGATACCTGAGTAATGAGGAGTGGTATTAATAACCAGACTGTCGACATGGCAGCAGACATGTTACCTCCACGATGGTTAAATGTTTAATCCGGGAATGCCATCTCCAGTGAAGGTGTGGCCACATAACACACGACTTGCTTAACCTGTGTGACAGTTTTATGTGCTTATGTTATTTAAATCACATAGGATACATGTTGTGTGTCACTCCTAATGTAACAGTTTATTTAGGCTCATTTTAATGTTATAATTTGCAATGTGCCAGTGTGCTACAATTAGTTTACTTACATAATTGCATCCTATGGGTTTTTGTATAAATGAAAACTAAATGGTGCTCATTCCATTTTCATAATAAATGAGTTACCTAAAACCTGTTCAACTTCATTGGTTGAGGTAGTTCCTTATCTACTGCAAAGAGAATCTGAATGTCTTTATTATTAACTTTATGTAAAAATAATAATTAAAAATAAATAAATATGCATATATTTTTTCTTTGTCTTATTATTCCAGTTAGATTCCAGTATCAGTATTTGCAGCATCATACTTAAACAACATAGCAAGAAACTTTGATAAGAAATTGTTTAAATGTCCCATATGTCCCTTACAGACGTGAACAAAATTGTTGGTACCTCTCTGAAAATGAAAGAAAAATCAAGAATGGTCACTGAAATTAAACTGGAAATTGAGAAATGCAATAATAAATAAAAACTTCTTGAAAAATAACCAAGGAATATCAGTCACTGTTTTTGAATTGTTGTTAAACAGAATTATAAAAAAAATAAATAAATAAATAAATAATGAAACTGTCCTGGACAAAAATGATGGCACCCCTAGAAAAGATTGTAAGTAACTGGACAATATGAACATGTTAAACTTAGGTGTGTCTGCACTCTCTAATTGGCATCGTAAGTGTCTTCAGACATGATGAATACAACACTCAACATGGACCATAGAAAGCGAAGAAGAGAACTGTGTCAGGAGATTAGAAAGGAAATGATAGACAAGCAAATTAAAGATAAAGGCCATAAGGCCGTCTCCAAGTAGCTTGATGTTCTTGTGATTACACTTACACATGTTCTTCAGAAGTTTAAGGTCCACAGGACTGAAGCCAACCTCCGTGGACATGGCTGCAAGAGAAAAATTTATGACAAATTGAAGAGAATGGATCATATGAATGGTAACCAAAGAGCGTGAACTTGAAAGGCAAGGTACATCAGTGTCAGATCACAGATCACACCATCCGTCACAGTTTAAGCCAAAGTGGACTTCATGTGAGGACACCACTGCTGAGAGCAAATCATAAAAAAAGTGAGACTGGAATTTGCCACGATGCATATACAAGCTACAAAGCTTCTGGGAGAATGTCCTTTGGATAGATGAGACAAAACTGGAGCTCTTTGGCAAGACATATCAGCTCTATGTTCACAGACGCAAAAATGAAACTCACCAAGAAAAGAACACTTTCCCTACCTCTCCCCTGAAGCATGGAGGAGGCTTGGTTTTGTTCTTTGGCAGTTTTGCTGCATCTGGCACAGGGTGTCTTGAATCTGTGCAAGGTACAACGAAATCTCAAAACTATCAAGGTATTTTGGAATGAAATGTGTTGCCTAGTGTCAGAAAACTTGGTCTCAGTTGTAGATTATAGGTCTTCTAATAGTATAATGACCTAAAACACACAGCTAAAAACACCCAAGAATGACTAAGAACAAAACACTGGACTGTTCTGAAGTATTCGTCTGTGAGCCCAGATCTCAATCCTACCGAACATCTGTAAAATGAGCTGAAACATGCTGTCTGGAGAAGGCGACCTCCAAACCTGAGACAACTAGAACAGTTTGCTCATGAGAAGTGGGTTAAAAACCAGTTGCCCAGTGCAGAAGTCTCATTGACAGTTACAGAAATCGTTTGTTTGCAAAGTTTGCCTCAAAAGATTGTGTAACAAAATATTAAGTTAAGGGTACCATCATTTTTGTCCAGGCCAGTTTCATTATTTAGTTTTTCAAATGATTCTGTTTAACCACAGGTGAAAAGCAATGTTTGATTTTTGTTGGACAATTTTCAGTAAATTTTGATTTATTATTGTTTTTATCAGTTTCAAGTTATTTCAGTGATGATTGTTGATTTTTTTTTTTTTTTTTTATCATTTCAGAGGGGTAGCAACAATTTTGTCCATGTCTGTATGTCCCTACTATGCCCTATTCTTGCTGCATCATGTTAATTCAAACTTCACAGAAAACTGGGAGCAGGCCTAAATAAGCACATAGAAAATTGACTTTCCAGGGTGTTTGAGTTTTGGTGCCCCCTCCTGTACAAAGAGCAGAAAACACACTTTGCCTCAAGGGACAGATAATGGAGTGACGAGACAGACTCAAGATCCTTATGCTCCCTTTTTCTTTTCAAGTCTCCCAAGCCCGGCTCTACGTTTTAACTCTTTAATTTAATCAGGTTTAATTAATGTATATAGTGGAGTGAAAGGAGATGAACTGTATTAAAAGCAAATATAAGAACCTTTTTCATAGTGACATCAAACTGTGGATGTTTAAATAAATAAATAAATAAAATAAAAATATAAATAAACTCTGAGTAAACAATAAACCATAAATATCTCATGAGTGATGCAGGTTACCATAGAGAATGTGTATGTGTGTGTGTGTGTGTGTGTGTGTATACATATATGTATGTATATAGTCTATGCACGTTATCGATCTCATACTTTAGGGATGCTCCTTGTTCTCGCGAGATTTCATTCAGCTGTAATGCCACGTCTTATTCACAGCTAGCACAAGTCCCATTGTAAAGAGGAATATTAGCGCTTCAGTCCCACGGAGTTGGCTGTGTAGAAAGTATTATCGAGTGGGCACACGAGCAGACATATCCGCACACTTTGGTAAGAAATGGCTTTTACTTTCGAGTTTGTTTTAGCTGCAGCAATGTGTTAGCATGATATGTAGCTAGTTAGCATCTTTAGCCAAAGTTAATTGAAACCATTGATTGCTGAGTTGTCTTTGTTTGACATCCGCCTTTCATTGTTTGCTACCAGATAAAGTAACCGCATTAAGAGTTAATCCTCCTTTTAAAGCCTGATGACGTAAATAACAAAGCACGTAGCAAAAAAATCCCTCCTTTTCTGCATCTTTCTTTACAGTTGGCTAGTACTGTGTTTGGAACTCCTGCATCACTGCAAAACACATTTGTAGCATGAATAGATCAACTGATTTATATTCATTTAATAAACTAATACATATAGTTATTTGTAATAATTATAACAGAGTTACATATAACGGAGCTCTTACTCCTGCTACCTGCTAACAAATGTAAAAAAAAAGGGGCACATTACTGTAAGACTCTAATTTACTAAAATTATTAGTCGACTAACTAAAGACATGATTCACAGATCATGTCTTTAGTCAATTAAGCAACTAAATGGGGGGTTGGTGCTAAAAAAAAATCTCTCAGAATGATTTTAATGTGCATGTTTCATTGTGAAAAGCTTCTGTAAGGAGCAGCACTACAGCATCTTCAAAAGCGAAAGGAACATTAAACTTTCCAGCCACCCCTAAAACCCCAGTTAATCTGTCCATACTTTTTTTTCCTGCTGTGCCTGTGGCAGTATAAATCCTTATAATGACAGCAATTAGTTAATAATTAGTTGACTAATAAAACATTCAGTCGATTAAGATCATCAACCAATAGCACATCATTATATGGATTTAATTTCTTTTTCTTGTGTTATTTTTTCTGCAGTGGTTAAAATGGGCCGTACACATCTACTGGCTCTGATAGTAGCCACATCGTTGATACTCCTGTTTGCCTCTGCCATCGCTCACAGCCATTCCCATGGAGACCATCACCACGGACACGGACATCACCACGGACATTCACATAGCGACCATGATCACCATGGACACGCACATGAGCCGCAGGTGAAGATGTTCCACGGAGCAAGTAAATGGAGCGCAGAGGCCAATGTCCCAACAGAGGAAGAGCACGGACATGCCCACTCACATGACCATGGACATGCCCACTCACATGACCATGGACATGCCCACTCACATGACCATGGACATGCCCACTCACATGACCATGGACATGCCCACTCACATGACCATGCGCATCACCATGGTGACCACCACGGGCACAGTGATGAAAATATAGTCCGCGTGCACAAAGAAGAGAGTGGACATGGACACTCACATAGTGACAAGATGGAGAGTGAAGGAGAAAAGAGGGACTTAGTGGAGCTCTGGACTCAGGTCTGCTTATCAAAGAAATATGCAAATAGTTACTAGTTGTTAGTAGAGATGCCTTTGTTCAATTAGTCATTTATATGTGTGCTATGCAAGTTTTCATATGGAGGGTCTGTCACCAGCTTGCCTCATGGAAATGTTATTGCTTTGAATGTTCCACATTATGGTATTAACTTTCATTTAGTCAATTACAGGTGTTTTTGTTGCAAAAAATTTTTTTGCTTAATGCATTGAGGTTGCTTTATTAATGCTATTGTGGAACACAATAGCATTAAATTAATTAGCATTAAAATAACTTTAATGTTGTATTAAAAAAACAACAATGCACATCTCCATGGAGAGAAGGTTTCTGACCCTCTACTTCAAACGTAACATAGTGCCCATTTTAACTCCTGAAACTCTGGCTTGGCACCACTGTACTTTGTCTATAAGCATGCAGTTTGGTCAGTTATAGTTGGGAACCATTCTCAAATGTTTTTGACATTTGCTTAATTCTCTTTTTATTCTTAGTTTCATACTTTCAGGGAGTGCACAATATGATAAAAGTTATAATTTACTCATTTGTGTTCTACTTCTCCCTTCAGGCAGTGGGTGCCACATTGCTGATCAGTGCAGCACCATTCTTGATCCTGTTTCTGATCCCGGTCCAGTCCAACAGCGACCAGCACCAGAACCTGCTCAAAGTACTTCTCAGTTTTGCCTCCGGGGGGCTCCTGGGAGATGCCTTCCTCCACCTCATCCCACATGCTCTAGGTTAGTGCTGCTTCCCTTCAGTTATGTTAATGTACACATGTACATTGTCCTGTCAGTCAATTAAATGAAAACATGTTCAGTCAAGGCATGTCGGCATTCACAAATGGATAACCAATTATTTATTGTGTGCAAACAAACAAACTCTCTAATAATAATGTTCAAAATAATCATTTAAATAGACCTGCACTGTCTTGTACCAGGCTCCAAGGAGTCATTTATTTAAATAATCAATTCATATTATTATTAATTTTTTTAACTTAATTAATTTACTGAACAGTGTGATGATCTGTTATTAATTTAAATTAATTAATTAATTATAAATTATTCTTGGGCACATCTATGCCTTTTACCCTTTTTAACTTTAAAAATGTAATAACAGTGTAATGTTGTGAACAGAGCCCCACTCACATCATGAAGAAGATCATGGACACTCGCATCACACTGAAGACCACGGACACTCTCACGGTGTGTGACTTTAATATTTCGTTATTTACATATTTTCACTGTGTTTCATTGTGTGTGTGGGGGGGTCTACTACCAGCTTAGCTCTGCGGAGATGTTATTACTTTGCATGGAATGCCCCACTATATGGTATTAAACTTTTCTATCCTGCATTTATTTCCATTACAGGTATTTTTATTGCTAAATGTACATTGAAAAAGACTTGAACTTGGCCAGATGGCGCCACCTACTTGTCTACATGGATATCTGATGCTGAAGTTTAATTCCCAGGCAAAGCAATAGCATCTCCAGTTAGACAAGCAGTATAGCCACAAGAAAATTTACAGTGTACCTTTTTAAATTGAGTAGATAATAGAAGAATGAAAACTTCAAAATGCTATTAAAACAGGTTCAACATTATTTTGTTAAAATACAATTAAAAAGCATTATATTTCACTTGCTAATCAGCATAAAACCTACCTTAAATTAGAATAGAAAAGGGCTATGAATACTGAAAAGAATTAAAGAATTCAAAAGCTACAGTATAACTTAAGTCTATTTGATCTTTACAGGAGCAGCCCATGGTCACATGATGTCGGTAGGCCTGTGGGTTCTGGGCGGGATCATTGCGTTCCTGGTTGTGGAGAAGTTTGTCCGTCTGGTAAAAGGAGGACACGGCCATGGACACTCTCACAGCCACTCACATGGTAAAAAAAACACATATTACATTTTTACATGTAACTTATCTCCTGACCCCTAAATCTCTCCAAACTTGTTCTAAGATGAGATTAGTTTACTTGAAACTTGTGTATGGATGTGAACAGATTTCAGCTATTAAAATATGAACTGCAAATATAATCACAATTGCAATGCTTGTTACAAAAAAAATGAGTTCATTACCAACTGTTGAGTTGATATATGTAATTATCTTCTAGCTGCTCCAAAAGAAAAAGACAGTGATGGAGAGGAGGAGAAGGAAAAAAAGGACAAAAGGACTGAAGACAAAAAGCCGGCCATCAAGCAGGAGAAGAAAAGTACAGGTAAACACAATATTTTCTGATTATATATTATCAATCTGGAAAGACATTGTAAAATTTTTACATTTATTATTAGTGATTAAAAAAACTGAAACTTACTATATGTTTAAGTTGAACATGGTTGATGAAGTCTTAAGGCTGCCACACAACACAGGATTTTTCAGTCTTAAACGATTTTTAATTGTGCAACAAAAAGTGCACACCACAGACACAAGGAGAATCTTTTGAGATTTTAAATCTCAGAGTGCAAAGACTGCTGCAGGATATGGCTGAGTGCGTACCACACGCTACACAGTTGAGAGTGCACCCGCGTCAGCGGTTTCTTGTCTACAGTAAAACGACTTGCTTTGAGACTCTTAAGTGTTCAAAAGATCAGAGCACTGCACCTCTAGTTAGATGCAAGTCAAAACTGTGTTATTAGTGAATTGTAGTGCAATACGTCAGACACATGATTTTTAATGCACAGAAGGTTGACTATAAAGTACACAGGAAGTAGCTTCAAACACATGAGGAACTCCTCTCACCTTTCTGCTTTTAAAGATGCTTCAAACTAGATCATTAGCACTGTTTGGCGGACTGGATGTCATTATTTGCACACGAGAATTTCTATGGATGTTGTTGTATTAGTTTAAATTTACATCTTTACGAAAGATGAGTAATAAAGCCTCATTATTTTCGCTGTTTCCTGACTTTGTATCTTGCACCTCTGTCTGTCTGTCACTCAGTCTCCCCTGACATTCTGTTTTATTAGCTGATGCAGTGGGTGGTTATGATATGACAGAGAAGCTCAGAGTCAACACTGACATTCGCTCACAAAGACACAAAGTTGTGTCATGCCTCCCTGAACTCGAGGAGAAGCAAATCTGCAGTCTAAATCGGGCCAATTCTCCTGTAGTGTGTGGCAGCCTTAAGCTGACGGAAGTTTGTATTTGTTAATTATTTTATTTTGATTTGTAAGGATTTTATTAGTAAGTGAGTTAGCTGAAGATTCTGTATTTTCTTGTATTTCTATGTAAAACAGCAGATTAAACTCATGATTCACAAGTTTCATTTATCTTTATATGTTTCCTAGTACTAATTACTATTAGTGTAAATACCAATTGTGATTGTGGCAATAAATAGTGGAACATAAATTACTTACTTACTTGGAGGGTAAGCCATCTGCAGCCGTCTGCAGATGGCAAAGATGTTATCTTTGCCTAGAATGTTCCACAGCATGGCATTGAACTTGCTTATCTCCATGGAGACAAGCAGGTAGCACCAGCAGGTCAAGTTACAGGTCATATCTGTGGAGAGACAAACCCTCTCCCAGTAAGAATGTGTGTTTTTCAAGGTATTTTTGAGCAATATGAAACATTAATTAATTCATTAAATAAATGCAAGATAGAAATGTTAAATGGCATCTTGTGGAACACCCAAGGCAAATCGTCAACATCAACAGCATGATTCAGACAAATAAGTGATCTTTTTACAAATTTCACACCTGATTAGTTTCTTTCATAGCATTCTGCCATATGTGTTTGTTTATTTTAATTACACCAGTTTTGTTTTTGTAGCAGTGCTGAACATCATGACCTATTGGGTACCAACCCTCTTATTAAGACATGCCTTCTCAATTCAGAATAGAAAATACAAAGGGAGGAGATGTGACTCAGTGTTGTTTCGGAACAATTTAATGTTGCACTGTTGTGGTTTTTTTCATCGATACAGATATCAAGGTGTCTGGTTACCTAAACTTGGCAGCAGACTTCACACACAATTTCACGGATGGCTTGGCAATCGGAGCGTCATTCTTAGTCAGTCCAGCAGTTGGCGCAGTCACCACACTGACGATCCTGCTTCATGAGGTCCCACATGAGATTGGAGACTTTGCCATTCTGGTTCAGTCAGGATGCACCAAAAAAAAGGTAATAGAATAAAAGCTGTACAATCTAATTCAGCAATATAGGATCAACATACTAAATACATTTTTCAAGTTCTTTTTGTTGTTTTTTAACTTTTGCTTGATATACTTCAATAGGCATGAAGTTTAAGCTGCCATTAAGAAATTAGTATAAAGTAAAAATGTAAAATAATTCTACCAAATTACAATGAATCTAATAGTTGTAGTCCTCACTTTAACTTAGTATGTTCTATGTCCAAATTCAGTTTCTGTTACAATAGATTTACAATGTGAGTTAAAACTACTAATACTGGTTTTGATCTTTTTAGTAATTTTACTTTTTAAAATTTTGAATATTTATTACTGCCGGGCACGTTAATGCGTTAATTTTGCGTTAACTAATTAAGTCATTAACGCCGTTAACTCAGTTTTTATTATTTATTTATTAATTTTATTGTAAACATCCGTTTCTCACTGGTTTTTATTTTGAAAAAGTCCACCGCGTTTCTTTAAGTTTGATGTCTTTTCTTTACACTTTTTTCACTTTTTTCTGACCACATGAGATGCAACGTGTCCGAGCCTCCACGAGCCGCGGGCCCGGCAGCAGGTTTGGGCTCCGGCTCCGGCTCCGGCTCCGGCTCTGGCCGAACCAGCTGTGCGCTCTGAGCTGAGCTTATTTCTTTAGTTCAGTGCTACAGGGGGAGTCACTGATTTACCCAGATACCATTGGAAGAAAAAATGTGATTGGTCCATTTCCATTCAATTATATTAACCCTTTGTTTCCCAAGAAAGTCAGTCCAAGTTTATAACAATGATCTGGAAATTATTACTAGTGTAGTGTTTATTACTCACTGCATAAAAAATATTCAAAAAATATAATAGTGGTACAAAAGTCCATTCAATATTTTTTCTTGAGCCTTCACTGAATACCTTGAAGGCTCTGAGGGTTCCTCTGTGAAAGAAATGCTGTTTGCACAACAAATGTATGGCTCTTTCATTTACATTTCCAATAAAAGTGCGCTATACTATTTTATACTAATATTTTTTAATTTATTAATTCGTTTTGCATATAACATGCGATTAATCGTGATTAATTTTTAAAATTTTTGCCCAGCCCTAATATTTATAGATGACAATAACAATTATTCTAGTAAAGTTTGAACCTCCAATTACTTTGACTGAAAATATTTTTAATTACAGTATATACAAATATATATTTTAATTTTACAATATCATTAGAATTAACTCTATTATTAGGGATGAAATAAGATCTTGTTCATATATGAGAAAAATCAATTTTGCACCTTTGAGTTACACCTATTGAGAGGGTGTACTTTCAAAAGGCTTGGCTACAATTACCACCAAAAAAAAAAAAAAAAAAATATATATATATATATATATATATATATATATATATATATATATATATATATATATATATATATATATATATATATATATATATATATATATATATATATATATATCCCCATCCCCCCTTGTTTCATTTTTGTGAACCCAATCTTTTGTCTTGTCTGGGCTTGTAAAAATGGTCTCTTCCTACTCCTACCTGTTGAGACAATAACCATACTATTATTAGCACCTCTTCAGACTACTCTGTTGACTTAACTAAATAATTAAGTACTGTTCATTTCTTCTGGGAGTGGTAAGCTTAGTCTTAATGACTCTGGTGGAGCCATTTGAGTATATTAGTGTCATCTATAGTCTATGGTGCCATGTGTGGAGCTGGTGGAGCCTAAGGTGTAGGTGTAATGTAGTGATGCTTTGTTGTCAGGTTTAATGTGTGCTTGTGTTCGTGCTTTTTTACACACTGCTCTTTCTCACGAGTTATCAATCAATAAAATGTCTTACAATTAGATACAGAGAGCATGCAGTGGTATGAGTGAAAACTGGAGTGAGGTGTGGAAGGCTGGGAGCAGGTAAACTCTGGAGAACGGGTAAAGTAGATGCAAGTGAAGTTAGGTCCTCCAGGCTGAATTTGCACCAGCACCAGGCGATCTTTTCATACCCGTCAGAGACCAGAGCGGAGTTTTACCATGACTATACATCTATCAACTAGTGTACTAACGTGCACATCTTGATTCTCAGACTGTAAAACTCTTTATAATTAGATGCAGACAGTACAGAGTGGTCTTATTTTGACCTCAAGAGCTCCTGTTAAAATATCTGTACAGGGCCTTTAATGCCACACTCTGGGACATTTCAAACAAAGCAATTACATGTCCAGTAATGTATGGTGGGCCTTCTATCACCAAAATTACATTGTGCCTCTTTAATACATAGCTCTTTTTTTGAATCACAGTTAAAATGTCACACTAGTTCTCCTCCTCTCCCTCTGTAGGCGATGTGTCTGCAGCTGCTCACAGCCGTGGGTGCTCTGGCTGGGACCGCCTGTTCTCTTTTGGCTGAAGGAGTCGGAGCCGCGGCCACTGCCTGGATCTTGCCCTTTACCGCAGGGGGCTTTGTTTACATTGCTACGGTAACAGTGCTCCCTGAACTGTTGGTGGGTCGGGCCAGTTTTGGACAATCCCTCATGGAGATACTGGCTCTGCTGTTTGGAGTAGGCATGATGGTGCTGATAGCTGAGTATGAATGAATGTTAAATTTTAAGGTAATGTGGGCTAGAGGTGGGGGACATATTGAAAAATGTATGATATTGTCGGAAAGGATGCAACTGGCAAATCGCAAAGGGTGCAGTTTTTGAAGTACCATAATTTCTTCTACAAACACGAAAATCTCCTGTCTTATTCTACTTATAAATGGCTTACCTGTAGTTTAGATCTGTACAAACATGTTTTGAAATGTGATTCTTGTATAAGTTTCCATATTTGAGTCTTTTTGTCAATTCTTCTGTATGTGTTTAAATTGAAACTTTTTGGTATTACAAACAATGATAAACCCCCAAAAATTATTGCGCTTAGAATATCAAGAAAAGTGTCTGAAATTAAAACTATTAAATGACCTGAAGAAAGAACAGAAATGTCTGGTGTAATCTCCCGAATGAGGGTTTAACGTGATCTTTCTGCACTTTTTTGGTTTATTTGTCCATTTGCATTTTGTGCGATACTTGAACCATTTAAAGGCACATTTTAGCACATTCCTGATGCCTTATTAAAATATCCTCTGAATATTGTTATTGAAATGAAACTCTCAATATCGCTCACCTCTAGCTGGGATGTAAGATGCAAGGTCAAATGGTTGAAATAAAACAAAAATAGTTTCTTTTGCTTTTGAAAATTGTGAAATATTTTAAAAAACATTTTGTATGTTGTATTTTGTGACAAGTTCTTGGATTTGTATTTTCCCCCCCCCCATTATCACGCACAGTACTTTCTTTCTTTTTGAGGGAGAATTTCCAATAATGTAAAAAAAACTCCTGTGTCCAAACATGCACTCTCAACTGATGTAGGCATTTCAGTGATTGCAAGAAAGTCTGTAAAAATACTGTTGAATTTTATTTTGGTAATATTAAAATGTATGTATTTTACATTCCACAGAATAAAAAGTAATAATAATATTTTGTTTAGATGTTTCATTTTATGTATTTGAGCAGCATTTGAGAAAAGTCAAACATTAGTTGCCAGTAAGTAAATAAATTCTACCATGCTTAATAGGAGTAAGCAACAATGCAAATAGATATAAAGGGGACATAAACAACAAGAGTTTTCAACCAAACCAAGTTATAATGGTATACCTTCATCGTTGGTTGTATTAATTGCATTTTAATTGATTCATACATGTGCAGAAAATCTTTGAATAAAATCAATATAATTCTGTTTACAATGCTTTAAAATGAGTATTCATATACACTAAATCAATACTGCAGTTTACAAAGAACAAGAAACAAATAGCATGTTATATATTTTTTATGCTTATCTCTATTTTCAAAACAAGAGTGCCCTGTAAATGTATCCAAATATGTTTTAGATAATTCCCCAAACAGGAAGGCATTTAATGTCACGTGAAGTTGTGTGACCCTTATTGACATAGTAACTGGTGCAGATGGTTGTAAATATGATTTACTTTGAGATAATAAATCATAACAATGCCAGAGCACCTGTATTCAGACCATTACTTCCTGGAAAGATATTTTTAAGGTCAGTGCAGTCACACCTGCATGCTGACATTTTTTCAAAGGCTTGTTGTCTTAGCCCACTTAGTATTTCCTGATGCAGAATTTGGCATTGTAATTGTGCAACAATTACAATTTATTTGGTTACATCATTTTAATGTGATTAGAGATATTATAATTTGAGCCCCACAAACAATCTTGTTTCAACAGTGTTCCCTAATCATGGTCTTACTTTTGATATTTGATTCATGCATTTTTTAATAATCCTGAATTGTTCTACATTTCTGTCTTCAGTACTCAGTTACTTCACATTTCCTGTTTCAACTCATGAACTGTGTTCCAGTGAGAATGCATTATAGTACAGCTCATCTGGTTAACAATGGACTGAATTCTTCTGAAATGAAATGTTTATAAGGCGTGATCCTACCGATTAGATAGTGTTTTCACAACATTCTATAATTTAATGTCATAATCAACTATAACTCTATGGACTATTCACGCTTTTAGATTTAAATGACTAAACATTTAAATCGTTAAAGACTGGTTTCACAAACTTGATGTACTGTATTTCTTTCAGAATGTTAACTTGATAGCAATCATGTCTTTGTGGTTGAATAATACCACTATTAGCCTTAGTGAAAAAAAGCTAATTTGTGCTGACGGATAAGATGTTGGAAGTTTGTGCGAGTAACCACAGAGTTATTCCCCGTAACCCAGGAAAAAACATTTGCATTTTAACAATGCTCCTATAGAGACTGAACATGAGAGAGAGTGGTTGTCTGTTAGAATGGCCTTGGTACAGTGGGTGGTTTGCAAACTGTAATGTCACCAGTTTGGTTCCCCCCGAGCACATTGAGTTGTCATGTACCAAGACTAAACCGGGACTACAGGGTCAAACCAAGTCTACATCAGGATTAAACAAGGCTCAAACCAGGACCAAATGAGGTGTGAAGCTGCTTGCACATTGTTTGGATGCAACTTTAATCACCTGCTCTCAAACAAGACCAATGATTCTTCATGGCATTTCACTGTAAAAACACAACAGATTTTTTGATAGCTCTGTGATGCTTTTGAACCAATTGACCCAGAGGACATTTTTTGAGGAAGTATGTGGGTGGGAGTATGGAGAGGCTGTATGCGCTAGGGCTAATAGAGGATTAACCAAATATGCATGAATCATTTAATCATTTAATTACTCTGAGTTAGTTAATTATAAGGGAACACCAAAAGCTCATAACACTGGCTTTGCATATACGTAATGTTACAGCAACAGTAACTTTCTCGAGCGGACACATCCCCTGCAATAATATAATAATGGAATATAATCATTTTTGTTTGTGGAGATGCAAAAACCACTCACAATAAGAATACCTGTTTTTCTATTTTTCAATGCAATAAAAACATACACATGCTTTTATTCAATTTTTTTAAAAGAAAAAAGTTACATAATGTGGCTTTAAGATGAAGTCGAATAAAGCCACAACTTCATTACAGTTACAAAACTCAAAACTAGACGTAGATAAGATTTTGTTAGAAATTAATCTTTAATAATTTATTGAATCCCCCTATAGCCTACATTTCCTCATTTTCTGAATAATTTTTAATCTATTCTCAGTACAAGCCTTGGGCCATATTTAGATTTGTCATAACCAGGGCAGGGAAACTCTCAGAGCTTTGGTCATCTCTTGCCCTTGTATAACTTTTACGTCATTTAAGCAATTGTATTTGTATTGTTTTCAACTTAATTTATTCCACTGAGCTCAACTAGATCAATTAATGAGGTACTTTTTAGTAAATTGTAGTCATTTTCAGACTCTTCATCCTTCTTAAGAAATACAGTATATTGTACATTGTAACTTGATTAATTACTTCATTACATGATACAAGCTTTATATTGACAATACTACATTTTTTAATTTGTATTTTTCACATATTATTTAGTTTTTCAAATGTTTGTGGTCTATCTATCCAGAAAATTCCAGAATGTATGCACTATTTGTATCATTCCCATTTTGAAATTATAATTACATTTAGAGAATTGTGCTTACTTGTTCCTACTTGAGTAGTAGTTTCAGCAAATACTTTTTCTTTTACATTTACTGGAGTGATTTATTTATTTTTTTGACCACTACTTTATACTTCTACTTCAGTAATATTATTTTGACATATGCGATACTCTTGAATACTCTTGGCTACTCGCACCTCTGACGAAATTAACTGCAGCTTTTAAAATTCTTGTGAAATGAAATATGCTCAAGGGAATTTAAAGGGAAAAAAACCCCAAAACTTCCTGCTTCCTAGTTTTATACTTACTTTAAACAACTAAAAAACTGTTCATGATGATGACAAGATGTATGCTATGTCTACTAAATGTGCTGTGTTATGTTATGGACTAGGCTCTACAATATTGTACAAAAAATATTATTGTTAAATGATGTATTTTTTTCTTAGTGAAGAGTTTTTGAATTATTATTTTTCTGTACCATGATAAGATCTGAGGGCTGAATAAATAACTTCTATGACTCATTGTTGATGCATTTTTTACTATGTGTTATCGTGACAAGTTCACGTGAACATAAACAAAACAGACTTTTAATCATTTAAGTTGAACAAATGAGTCAAATATATTTTATATCAAATTAGGAATTTTTCACCTTTATAGACAATGATCAGATCTGACATCAG